TCCCCTTTCCTATGGGATGAATTCCCAGTATTCCTACGGGATGAATTCCCAGTGTTCCTGCAGGGTTAATTCCCAATATTCCTGCGGGATGAATTCCCAATGTTTCCTGCAGGGTGAATTCTCATTGTTCCTGCAAGGTTAATTCCCAATATTTCTGCAGAGTGAATTCCCAATATTCCTGTGGGATGAATTCCCATTGTTCCTGCAGGGTTAATTACCAATGTTCCCGCAGGATGAATTCCCAATGTCTCTTCAGGATGGGTTAATTCCCAATATTTCTGCAGGGTGAATTCCCAATATTCCTGCGGGATGATTTTACAGTGTTCCTGCAGGGTTAATTCCCAATGTTGCTGCGGGATGAATTCCCCATATTCCTGCGGGATGAATTCCCAATGTTTCCTGCAGGGTGAATTCCCATTGTTCCTGCAGGGTGAATTCCCAATATTCCTGCAGGATGAATTCCCAATGTCTCTTTGGGGTTAATTTCCAATATTCCTGCAGGATGGTTTCTCAATGTTCCTGCAGGATGAATTCCCATAGTCTCTTCGGGGTTAATTCCAATTTTCTCCCGGTTGTGTGTGATGTTTCTTGCTCATCTTGGGGCAGCAGGTCCTGTTTCCCTGGGGTGCAGAGGAAGGATTGCCATGGGTCCTGTGGGTCCTGTGGGTGCCGTGGGTGCTGTGTGGCTCCACGTGGAGTGACCAGAGCAGATCCATGGTCTGGGCAGATCCCGATGCCCCCGTGCCCCTCATTCCTCGGCTGTGTCGGTGTTTCTGATCCCGGGGTGCTCTGGGGATCCCTTCCTCCCTCCTCACCCCTCTCCCTCCTCTCCTGGTCCAGACGTGGAGCAGATGGCCATCGACTGGCTCACAGGCAACTTCTACTTCGTGGATGACATCGATGACCGGATCTTTGTCTGCAACAAGAACGGGGACACCTGCGTCACGCTGCTGGACCTGGAGCTGTACAATCCCAAGGGAATCGCGCTGGACCCGGCCATGGGGTGAGTTCTGGGAATTCACTGCCCYTGSGGACAGTTGGACTTGATGATCTTGAAGGTCTCTTCCAGGTTCATCCTGTGATTCTGTGATTTTTTGATTCTGTGATTTTGTGATTGTATGATTTTGTGATTTTGTGGTTTTGTGGTTTTGTGATTCTGTGATTCTGTGATTTTGTGATTTTTTAAGTCTGTGATTCTGTGATTTTGTGATTCTGTAATTCTTTGATTCTGTGATTATGTGATTCTGTGATTGTATGATTGTATGATTGTGTGATTCTGATTCTGTGATTCTGTGATTCTGTGATTTTTTGAGTCTGATTTTGTGATTCTTTGATTTTGTGTTTCTATGATTTTGTGATTTTGTGATTCTGTGATTGTGTGATTTTGTGATTCTATGATTCTGTGATTCTGTGATTTTTTGATTCTGTAATTTTTTGAGCCTGTGATTTTCTGATTCTGTGATTTTTTTGATTCTGTGATTTTCTGATTCTGTGATTCTATGATGCTCCCGTGGGAGCTCCATGCCAGACCCTCGCCATCCCTGCGGTTGGATCCGTAAATCCATCTCCTCCCTCTGCCATCCTGGCTCTGAGCTTCCTCCTCTGCTCTCCTCCCACAGCAAAGTGTTCTTCACTGACTACGGGCAGATCCCCAAGGTGGAACGCTGCGACATGGACGGGCAGAACCGCACCAAACTGGTGGACAGCAAAATCGTCTTCCCTCACGGCATCACCTTGGACCTGGTGAACCGCCTGGTGTACTGGGCTGATGCCTACCTGGACTACATCGAGGTGGTGGATTACGAGGGGAAAAACAGGCACACCATCATCCAGGGCATCCTGGTGAGTGGGTTTGGGGGAGGTTGGTGTTGGGGTGAGGGTTGGTCGCAGAATTCGGTGTCCTGGGTGCTGCTGGTCTGTGGTTTTGGCTTTGCTGGGCCAGCAGAGAATGTGCTGAGCACTGAGCGTGGTCTTTCTGAGAATGATTTTATGTTGTTGATGGACGAGGCCACACCAATGGCCAGCAATGGACACGAGCCATCGGGGTTTTGCGCCCTAAAAAAATTCTCCCAGCCCCTAAATTCTTGTGGACACCCACTCCATGCTTCTGAACCCACTCCATGCCTTCCAGATCGAGCACCTGTACGGGCTGACCGTCTTTGAGAATTACCTGTACGCCACCAACTCGGACAACGCCAACGCCCAGCAGAAAACCAGCGTCATCCGCGTCAACCGCTTCAACAGCACCGAGTACCAGGTGGTGACACGCGTGGACAAGGGAGGAGCGCTGCACATCTACCACCAGCGGCGCCAGCCAACAGGTGGGACCCTGATTTTGGAGTCACAGCTCTCTGGGTCCTCAGCCAGGGGCTCAGAGGGGGAATTTCAGGAAGAATTTCTTTGTGGGGTGGGTGATCAGGCATTGGAAGGGAAGGTGGTGGTGTCCCCAGCCCGTGGAGGTGTCCAGGGAATGACTGGACATGGCACTCTGGTCAGGTTGATGAAGTGGGGCTTTGTCTCAATGATTTTGGAGGTTTTTTCCAACCTTGAGGATTCTGAGATTCCTGCTCCAGCTCCCTGGGGGCTTCTGAACACGCTGGGGTTCTCCCCTTTGCTGCTCTCTCTGTGTCTCCTCCTGTGAGAGCTGCGCCACGTGGTTGGTGGATCACAGAGAGTACAGAGATGTGGAAGCAGATATGACATCTTAAAATATTAATGGTCCCGCTCTCTCTCTGTCCCCACTGCCAGCACGTTCACCCCGCTGCTCCCAAGCACCGAGGGATTTCCAGGGAGCTGCACCGACCCCTCCCCGCATCCATCCCTGCCTTCTCTCCCCCTCCAGCACCTTCCTGCAGTTAATCAATTTACTCCTTCAAAATCCTCTTAGTGTCTGCAGCCTTGCTCGGCATTTTCCAGAATATAAAATTAATCAGGAGATTTCCGAGCGTGGGGAAGGAGCGTGATTAAGGGGCTTTTCAGTTGGAGCTGGCTTGTCCCCGCTTCGGGCCTTGTCCCATTGCTGCAGCAGGATGGGACAGCGTGGCCCTGTGGTGTCCTGGGACATTATGGCTTATCTTCCCATGGGAATATCCTTTTCCCATCCCTGTGCTGTCCTGTGCAGGGCTCAGCCTTTCCCTGACCAGCCAGRAGCCCCCYAAAAAYCCAGGSAGAASCCATGAAAGTGTCCCCACGGTGYAGCCCYRTGTCCCCCTGTCCCCTYGTTGTCCCCGGCCGCTGCAGCCCCRTTTTTTTTGTGTTGCAGTGCGGAGCCACGCCTGCGAGCCGGATCAGTTTGGGAAGCCAGGAGGCTGCTCGGACATCTGCCTGCTGGGGAACAGCCACAAGAGCCGGACGTGCCGCTGCCGCTCCGGGTTCAGCCTGGGCAGTGACGGGAAATCCTGCAAAAGTGAGTGCTGGCCTTCCTTGGGGGAATATGGGGAGCAAAAGCTCTGTGCTCACCCATTTCTGTGACCCCACAACAGCTCCATCCAGGCTTGGCTGGTGACCACGGCTGTCCCCTGTCTGTCCACAGAGCCCGAGCACGAGCTGTTCCTGGTGTATGGGAAGGGGCGTCCTGGCATCATCCGCGGGATGGACATGGGTGCCAAAGTGCCGGACGAGCACATGATCCCCATCGAGAACCTCATGAACCCCCGAGCCCTGGACTTCCACGCCGAGACCGGCTTCATCTACTTCGCCGACACTACCAGCTACCTCATCGGGCGCCAGAAAATCGATGGCACGGAGCGTGAGACCGTCCTGAAGGATGGTAATGTGCCCTCTGGGCTTGGGTTCCTTCATCCCCATCGTTTTGGGTCGGGATCGGGCACCATCAATCACGTGGGGCTGTTGTTTCTGCTTCTCGCCTCTTGGATGGTGATGAACCCACTCTTTGGTTTTTCCCCAAAGGCATCCACAACGTGGAAGGGATCGCCGTGGACTGGATGGGGAACAACCTGTACTGGACGGATGATGGACCCAAAAAGACAATCAGCGTGGCACGGCTGGAGAAAGCTGCCCAGACGCGGAAAACTCTGATCGAGGGGAAGATGACGCACCCCCGTGCCATCGTGGTGGACCCTCTGAACGGGTGAGGGGTTCTGGGTGGGCAGGGCTGGCTGGCAGGGCCATGGGGACGTGGCTGGGTGTTGTCACCAGCTGTGGTGGCAAGGCCAGGGCTCACCTTGGTGTCTGTGGCAGGTGGATGTACTGGACGGACTGGGAGGAGGATCCCAAGGACAGCAAGAGGGGCAAAATCGAGAGGGCCTGGATGGACGGCTCCAACCGTAACATCTTCATCACCTCCAAGACCGTCCTGTGGCCCAACGGGCTGAGCCTGGACATCCCTGCCAAGATCCTGTACTGGGTGGACGCTTTCTATGACCGCATCGAGATGGTTTATCTCAACGGCACCGAGCGCAAGGCGAGTGCGGGTCCAGTGGCCACTGGTTGCCCCCAGGCTGGTGAAGGGTTTGGAACACAA